TATTCATTCCAACCCATACTAGATTCCATTTTCAGCACTCATCAAGAACATACTTCTGGACACTCGAAGGTGGCTCATTGTCATAAGCTTCAAGAGCCTTACAGATCCTTTCTGTCAATTTGGCACTTCCTGTACATGTTTATAAACAGTTCAACTTTGTTCTTGGATCCCATGAAAGCCATCATTTCTTTGTCAATGGAAAAGCATCAGCACATGGAGGAAGCAGAATAAGAGAAAATCTGTTCTTAATTGGCAGAATTATGAATATAGCCCTTTTCAGTGTAGTAGCATGGAAATGCTTCGAATATACAAATTCTGGCTCTACATCGAATAAGCATTGTGATATCATAGTCCAAACATTAACTGGAAGATGAATGTGCTCATAGCATCTTATGGAAGTGTTCTTTGAGTTATCTGATCTGGTTGGACAGAACCAATCATTGAATTTAGAAGATGAATTTGCCAATAGCATCTTCTGGAAGTGTTCTTTGAGTTATCTGATCTGGTTGGACAAAACCAATCATTGAATTTAGAAGATGAATTTGCCAATAGCATCTTCTGGAAGTGTTCTTTGAGTTATCTGATCTGGTTGGACAGAACCAATCATTGAATTTAGAAGATGAATTTGCCAATAGCATCTTCTGGAAGTGTTCTTTGAGTTATCTGATCTGGTTGGACAGAACCAATCATTGAATTTGGAAGATGAATGTGCTCATAGCATCTTTTGGAAGTGTTCTTTGAGTTATCTGATCTGGTTTGGCAGAACCAATCATAGAATTTAGAAGATGAATTTGCCAATAGCATCTTCTGGATGTGTTCTTTGAGTTATCTGATCTGGTTTGGCAGAACCAATCATTGAATTTGGAAGATGAATTTGCTCATAGTAGAAATAAGGAGACTCAATAGCATCTTCTGGAAGTGTTCTTTGAGTTATCTGATCTGGTTTGGTAGGAAATACAGAACCAATCATTGGAATTAAAAGATGAACTGCATGATCGTCTTCATTAAGAAGCTTCTTTTCAAGCTTCTTTTGCTTATTCCTTTCCCAAAAAAAAAATCATAGCACAAGTTTCGCCTTTTCTTGTAATTGGGATCATCACATAATGGCTTCCCATCTTTTACCGGAAGAAGTGCGTCAGCATCTTTAGTCATTTGAGCAGCACATATAAAATCTATCAATTTTGCAATTGATGAATCTGAACCACATTTCTCCAGGGCTATTGAAGTTTCAGCCTCTGAGAATCTCATTTTTGTCAAGAATAACAGTTTATTCTCCTCATCAGAATCAGAATTCAAGATTTCTCGATATTAAAAGAACTATCGATATCCGTGAAATCATCTGAAAAGGTCACTTCATAATCAGATGAGTTGTTATCAGAATCAACATGTTGCATGGATGCAAGCTGTTCAAGAGCCTATACTATTGAGTTTTATTCTCAAGAGGTTTTGTGACATAATATCTACATCTACATTTGTCAAAGATGATAGATTCTCTGATTTGAAGAAGAAAGATCTATTGGGTTTTTACAATTGAAGAAATACTCAATTCACCAATCTGAAATCAAATAACTTAACATTCATGCATCATATTTTAGGTGTTTACAAAAATAGGTGCATTTTCATTCATTTTCATCTATGTTGAATTTTTAACAGGAATTTCAAAGATTTTAGCAAAGATTCAAATCTATCATTTGATGGATTGACATTTCCAGAGAAAGTTCATAATGAGAAGAACTCATCTGAAGAAGGAAGAAGAAGTTCATAATGAGAAGAATTTGTTCAACCTTTTGCCTGAATTCATCACTTGATGGATTATCTTTTCCAGAGAAAGTTCATAATAAGAAGAACTCATTTGAAGAAGGAAGAAGAAGTTCATAATGAGAAGAATTTGTTCAACCTTTTGCTCAAATCTATTACTTGATGGATCAGCTTTTCCAGAGAAAGTTCATAATGAGAAGAACTCATCTGAAGAAGGAAGAAGAAGTTCATAATGAGAAGAACTTGTTCAACTTTTTGTTTGAATTTATCATTTGATGGATCGGCATTTCCAGGTAGAGTTCATAATGAGAAGAACTCGTCATCTGAAGAAGGAAGAAGAAGTTCATAATGAGAAGAATTTGTTCAACCTTTTGCTCAAATCCATCACTTGATGGAGCAGCTTTTCCAGAGAAAGTTCATAATGAGAAGAACTCATCTGAAGAAGGAAGAAGAAGTTCATAATAAGAAGAACTTGTTTAACTTTTTGCATAATTCTATCACAGAAGGAGATAGATTAGCATCAGCCTTTCTAGAGAAAGTTAATAATGAGAAGAACTCATCAAGAGCTTATTCAACCTTTTGAATGACTCTATCACAGAAAGAAAGAGGTCAACATCATCCCCAGCGGAAAGTTCATAATAAGAAGAACTCATTTGAAAGAAAGAGAAGAATTTATTCAACATCTCCATTATGATCAAGTGAAGCCAAATGGATAATTTTTTTTTTATCTTTTCATCTTTGCCCTATTCCTGTTAACACAAGAATGAGCAAAGAGGGGCAGCTGAAGATACTAATTTTTTACCCATATTGATTTATTATTATTATTTTTATTATTTTTATTATTTTTATCATTATTATTATTATTATTATTATCATTATTATTATTATTATTATTATCATTATTATTATTATTATTATTATTATTATTAAATATATTAAATACATATATAAATAAATATTAAAATATATACAAGCCCAATCGACCAGCCCAATTACAATGGCCCAACCATTTAACCTAAATATGTAACCCTAAACCCTAGCCGCCATCATCCATCCACCGTTGGATCTGGCATGATCCAACGGTCCAAGAGCCTCCAGATGCAAACCCTAGGGTATGATACCCTAGGGCCACGCGGCCGCCGCAGCTGCTCTCGCCGTCTCCACCACTGCCACGTCCCAACCGAAGGCTCCAGAAGCTCCAACGTCAGCCGTCCACGCCATGGCTATGGGGTGAGTCACCACTGGGAGTCCGGTGACTCACCGAAATCCACTCTTCGGACCGGTCCGATGGCCGCACCAGTGATGGCTATAAAGCCATCACCCCATCTGCGAACAGAGACAGAGACAGAGACAGAGAAAACGGAAAGACAGAGAACATAACAGAGACGAGGAAACGACAGAAACAGAGAGAGAGATACAAAAACTACCAACGATCCCAGTCAACAACAACACAACAACAAAAAAAAGGGGAGAGAAGCTTACCAAAGAAACCTTGACCATCACCGGAAGCATTAAACATCGCTGGAGAACAGAAAATACCGAAGATATTTTCATAGATTTACTCCGATTAGGAGTCTTTTTGGGGAAATAAAGGTCGGATTCGGTCTTAGGGTGTATAGATCTACATTTTAGGTGAATTTGGGGAATTTCCGACCACCGGAGGCGGTGGTCGGCGGCGGAATTTACGGCGGCAGACGGCTGCCGGATTCCCTCCGGTGAGGGAATATAGAGAGAGGCCAGAGAGAATTCTGGCTCTCTCTCTGCTTGAGAGAGAAAAAAAAATGAAGGCTGGCCCGAAGGCCAGCCGGGTTTGGGTATTAAATAACCCTTCCCAAACGACGCCGTTTTGGGGAGGGCTATTCGTGTAATTAATAATAGTTAAATCCTTTCCGCAGTCCTCCGAACTTGTAAACTTTACATTTTAGTCACTAAATCGAACTTATAATCCTTTTAATTTGATCTCTAAATTTTAATTTCATTTATTTTAGTCCTTTATATTAAAATAATATATTTAGGATAAATAACATATTTAATCCCTTAATTTTAATAAATAATATTTTAATCCCTAGTTTATATTTTTAATTTATTTTAATCTTATATTCGAATTTTAGATAAGTTTATTTTAGTCACTAAATTATTAAATAAGAAAATAGCATGTTTAATCCCTATAATTTTGATTAATTATGAATTAGGTTTTTAATTTCAATTTTACTATAATTTAGTTATTTATTTTAAATGTCTTTATTTATTTTACTGCTTTTAAAATATATCGTTTTAGTTATATTTTTATTGTTTTAATTTTTACTTGTTTATATATTTAAATATTTTTATTATGTAGTCATAAATATATATAATAAATAATAATTTATTTTTAAATAAATTATTTTAATATTTATTTTTCAATATCGAAGAAAAGGACAGTCTTAATACAACTGGATGTCCTATTCTGGTATTTTAAAATTAAATATTATAAAAAATTTATTATTTAAAATAATATTTATTAATATCAAAGAAAAGAGCTGTCTTAAGGCACCTAGAAGTCCTTTTCTGATATTTTTAAATAAATAAATATTTTTTTTATATAATTTTAAAATAATATGATTATAAATTAAATATATTTTGATTTTTTAAAATTTTAATAAAAGAGACAATTTATAATTAAAAAAGTACCAATTTTGGGCGTTGTAGGGGTGCTAATCCTTCCCTAAACGTAACCGACCACGAATCCCTTTTTATTATTAAAAAGAACGAATTTTTGGTTATAAACGCAGATCAGTTCATTTTTTAATTGATGTTTTCTTAAAACTCTTTTAAAAAATAATTTTTAGGTATTCGACCTACCTGACCCAAAAGGCCGATGGCGACTCCCAAATTATTTTCAAAACCATTTATTCACATCAATTTTCCCGCCAAATAAAAAAAATTCGTGCCCGGACGAAAACCGGTTACGACAGCCTGCATCATAGGTGTAGATTTGTGGTGCAAATTTATTATTTTGATATTTAGTGATGAACTAATAGAGGCAGATAGGTGTTTTATACAGTAAAATTCAAATCTAAAACAGTTTAGAAAAGAAAATGGACTTAGGAGCAGAAGGCTGGTTGATTTACTTGCATCTTCGATATGAATTTCGATTTTAAGGCGCAAAAACCTGAGGAAAGGTCCGAATGCTCGATAATTTTGCAGTTTATCTGGTTGACTCTTTTCCTTGTATAAACTTTAATCCATTCCTTTTATTGTAGGAAGTGGGATGAGTTTGGGAATTCTCATAGATATATGCTGTTCACAGATGGAGATGAATGCTGGAATGGACCCGATAGAAGCTTAAAGGTAATATTTATATGCTGGCCAATAGCCTCCATGTGGTGCTCATTTGTATCTCGTTGGCTATTCTTGGATCGTGATCCTAAAGAAAAGAGGTATCGATGATATGTTGTTCCTTGTCGAGCAAAAGATCTGATGTAATTGTTAGGAAAATAAACCGAGTACAAGTAATTTCCCTATAACCAGATTAGTGAGAATGCGAAATAAAAGCGGAAAAATAATATCCGAAAATTGATAACGGAGTTCAGCCAATTGTGCTTACGTCTCCGGGCTGCTGCAGATCTTTTACTAAGAGAGAAAATTTACAGGTGTTTACAAAACACTCACTACTCACAAGAAAGCTCTCTAGTATAGGAAGAAAGAAATGTTTTGGGATGATTTTGAAGCTAAATGAGCTAGGGTATTTATAGTTGAAACTTAAGGACTTAATCTTGTAAATACCCTAAAGCCTAGGGATTAATTGTGATTATCCCATTATCATTTTTCAACAAACATCTACCAAACTTTGAAAAACTATTTTTCAAAGAAACATTTACCAAACTTTGAAAACCATTTTCAAAGAAACATTTACCAAACTTTGAAAATCATTTTTTCAAAGTTGGTTACCAAACTTGAAAAAACATTTTAATACTTTCAACAGTAACATAATCAATTTGGTAGATATTGACTGGTAAATGGATCGTTGTCGAGAAGCTTTCTTCTCATATGCAAAATTCTTAGCGTTGATCCTTCTTTTTTCCTTACAGGTCAAGCTAAGGTGTGGATTAAAAACCGAACTAACTGGCATGGATGAACCAAGCCGCTGCGAGTAAGTCCTTCCCTCCCATTCTTCATCCCTATTCAGATAGAAAAAAGATCTTCAATTCGGCTTTGCTATTTTCGAGTCAAGCTTGAGTTATCGAGCAAACCAAATTCAAGTACTAATGCTTGACTTGAGTAGCTTGTAAGCAGCTGAGCTTTATTTTTAAAATATGTATTTTATTGTTAAGTAGTATTGAAAAATACCAATTCGATCTTGAGCATAGATAATTAGTTTGGAAGTCAAGCATGAGAATTGAGCTCATATTTTACTAGGTAAACAAAAGCCTAATTAAGTTCAAGCCAAGCTTGGATCTTTTAATTTCTACTCTAGCTTGAGCTTATTATGGTCTAAAGCTCGGCTCGACTCGGCTCTTATTTCGTCCTTATGCACACATACACATCTAGCCACACGTGTGTGCATGCACTCGAAAACTATGCCATCTAACCCTCCTTATTCATGGCAGATATGCAGCTCTCATGTATACCCCTGTTCTCTGCCTAGACGAAAAGCTTGAGGTAACTGTCACTGGCACATGGAGCTCTTTTCATTTCGTTTTTATTCTGCATCTTCTATAAGAATGATGGATTTGGCAGGAATTCAAACAGAAACTAGAATCAATCGACCAAGTCCAAGAACAACAATGGAATCATGATGAGCTTTGACTTTCTAACAGCCTATATCGTCCCAAGTATTCCGACATTATCGATTCTTTCAATGGAAAATTTCGAAACATCATACTTGTTTTATCTAATGGTGTTCTATGCTATGTTATCGAGTAGCCATTAACCAATTGATATCTTTTGTCTATGAACAAGCTTCATGTAATAGCTGTAGTATCTCTACAAAGTAGATCATAAACTTTAAGCCGACTGCAGTTTTCGGACGATGCACAATCTTTTTATTTATAAAATCGAAAACCAAACGTTACGGTTGAATTAGTTTTCGATTTCTTGGTCTTCTTATCAACCCCTAGATATGCCGAATACTATTTTTTGTTGCTTATTCCAACTCTTATACTTCTTTTGCAGGTGAGAACGAAGATGAAGATTTAATCATGTTTACGCAAAACCAGAATTTCCTACAAAACAGTGCAGGACATGTTTTCATTTGTTGAGGACTGAGACCATGATATTAATGGTCTTGTCTGTTTTTTTGTTGGTGTTTTTTAATGAACCCTTTAAAGGAATGGTGAACCCGCTACATGAATGCCTGCATTGTTTCTGGTATTTTGTTGGCTCAAAACCATTTTCTTGGGAAGGGCTAAAAGTTCTAAAATGCCAGACATAAGAACAAGTGATTTTTTTTTATGAAGATATTGGATATTAACAACATTTTATTTATTATTATTTATCAAGCTTCAATTGCACGCATTAAATTGAATGAATCCCAGAATTGAGAATCCTACTAGTTAGTGATGGCAGAATATCTTCTTTGTTCAACACTTAAACTTTTTATATCTCCATCTTCAACATTGGACCAATATAATAAGAGCATCACATGAGTGTAAGGATATTTTAAAATATAAATTTAGTATGGAAATTTGTAATAATGTTGAATGAGGAAGACCAAATTCAAGAATTTGATGAAAAAAATAGAGAATAATTTCCATAAGCATATGCTGTTTTTTCTCAAGGTTATGTGACCTATAAACTATATATTATTATTCAGGGCCGACCTTGGGCGGGGGCAAGTGGGGCACCCGCCTAGGGCCCATAATTCTAATTTATATTAATTTGCCCTACTTTAATAAACTATTAATTAATTCACCTTCTGTTAATGTACTCTCAATTTTTTATTATATTGTTATTAAGAGTAAAACTAAATTAAAAGTATTGCAACCCAGAGCCCACAAATATTAATGCAGTATTTTCTTACATTAATGCAGGAGGGCCACAAATAACGTTAAAAATTGTTATTTGTTATCAAAAGTAAAAAAAAAATATTAATAACATTCAAATTCATAATATTTATCAACGGTTACTTTTTATTCAATATAAATGAGAGGAGAACATTGAAGTAAAATTAACTTATTTCTTATTGTTCTAATTTTCAATTTCTCATATTTATCACAATTCACAAACACAAAATCACAATTACTCATCATCAATTGTGGTCATTGAAGATATTTTTAAAATCCTAAGTTCATGTTTCCAAATTCTTTTTAATTTTTATATATTTCTAAATTCTAGATAAATTTATTCTCTTTTTTTTTTGTTTCATAAATTTTGGATATGAAATGTCAAACGTGGATATGCAGATACTTCATCTTCCTTATAAGTTCAATCATTACGGTGTTGTGAATTTGGCGTATAAATACTTCAATCGAGGATCTTGCCATTTACAGGTGTTATTGTTCTTTTCTACATTAGTTGCATTGTTATATAATGTTGCCTAAAAAACATTTGTCTGGTAGTGAAAAAAGAAAACAAATAGATGATTTAATAGAATCACAAAAAGGAGCTCTTGATAAATTCTTTAAAAGTGGAGTTGGAGAGCCTTCTAATAAAAATTTAAATGATATTGCTGGGAATTTAAATAATCTTTATAGTTCTTCAAATTGTACCAATCTAGGTGTTACTGATGCAAATTACCATGATATCCTAAATCATATAGATGGTGACATTTCTAATTTAAATGCCATAATCATGCACAAAATGAGTCTAATGTTGAAGATGTTGGGATTGATCAACACTTAGTCCATGTTGTGGACATTTATGACCCTAGAAATTGGGGTAATCTTGATAATAAATCTAGAGATATTTTAGTTGAAAAGGGGCCTATAAGAGAATTGAATTTGAAATTTCTCTTAGCCAATATGTTGAAAACATTTTGATGTTTCGATATAACAAACTAAGTTTAAATGAATTTTAAATTTTTACAAAAGATTTCTGAAGTATATTCGATATAATTATTCGAATATCAAAATATTACTCCAAGTCTTTCAAAGTTCAATTTCAATCCTTACTAAAGTGTAAAGTTGTGTTTTATACTCAAAATATTTTTGAAACAATTTTTACAAAGTATTTCGAACCAAAAACGAGCCAAAAATCAAACTTGTGAAGGGATGCACCGATGCACTCATTGATGCATCGATGCATTCACCATATCGAATGCATTTTATGCATCGATGCACTACCATGCATCGATGCACTACCATGCATCGATGCACTACCATGCAACGATGTACTACCAGGTTTCATGAAAACATCGAATGCATTTTATGCATCGATGCACTCAGGCTTGTTTGAAACATCGAATGCATTTTATGCATCGTTGCACTCTTAGTGCACCGATGCACTAAGGGTCCAACGGTCCAAATATTTGAATTTTACACATAGTGTACCGATGCACTAGCCTTATGCATCGATGCACCAGATGCTCCCACTATTTTATTAATTGTTTTCACACTTAAACGACTCTATTAACTCCACTAATCATCCCCAACGTTCAGAATCAATTTAAAGAGTATTTAAACAAGCTTAGAAGCCATTGATCAAATAGAAGAAACAACAAGAAACATCAATCAACTAGAATCATGAGAGAATCAAAGAGAAAGCATCAAACTCATTGTTTGAGCATTTCAAGCCTATTTTTCATTCAATATTCATTTTGCTTTCAAGAACACTACTTTTACTCAATTGTATTCATTCTTGAATGTTCTTTCTTTGTTCTAGAATTGAGCAAACACATTTGCCTTGTGAGTTTTTTCATTATGTTTGCAAATTTGTAATCTTCTCTTTAAGAAAAGAGTGTTCTCAAGAATTGGGGTATATTCTTGAGGGAGTTGTAAGATTATCTCTTTGGCCTCAAAAGAAAGAACAAATTAGTGAATTTGTTGGAAAATCCTTAGTGTGGATAGCTAAGGTAGTGGACGTAGACTTTGGTTGAGAAAGTCAAACCACTCTAAATCGCTGTGCAATTACTTTTAATTTTCTGCAAAAGCTTCCACCAAAATTTTAATTGTCAATTCACCCCCCTCTTGGCCGATTCCATCAATCGATTAACTCAACAATTGGTACCAGAGCTTGACTCATTTGAAGGTTTAACTGCCTCTTGAGTAGATCTGGGAAGAGTTAAATCGACAAAGATGACGTCCACTTCCGGTTCATTCTCCATGGAAGAATCTAGACCAATTGACATGCCTCCTTACTTCAATGGAACAAATTATCGTCGTTGGAAGAGGTTATGATGATATTTATCCAAAAACATGATATGGAAGCTTGGATGATAATCGAGAAAGAATATTCCTCTTCTACGAAGAAGGCAAAGAAGTGGAGTGATCAAGAACGGAAGAAAACTCAACAAAATACAAAGGCTATGCACATGTTGTGTTGTGTAATTGATCCTAATGTATATAAAGGAGTTTCTTCTTGTTCAAATGCCAAAGAGATATGGGTTAAGCTTTAGGAGATGTGGGTTAAGCTTGAGGAGATCTATAGAGACAGGGAAGAAGAAGAACCAATAAAGGTGATGTCTCTATTAGCTCTCACAGAGCCAAAGGTATCTTCTAACTCAAATAGATTAAATTCAAAATCTTTTAATGAGTTACAAGATGCTTATGATGAATTATTTTTGGAGTTTGAGACCATGAACTCCAAATAAAATAAATTGATTTCTAAATTTATTGCTAAAAATGATCTTCTTTTGAAAGCTAAAACAAACTTGGAAAATCAAAATAAAATATTGAGAAAGGAGTTAGAGGTTTCAAAAATAAAATCTGAAAACTTTGAAAAAGAAAATTTCAAATTAAACAAACTTATTCTAGAAACGAAAATGGATTTTGAAAATCAAAATGAAATATTGAAGAAGGATTTAGAGCTTTCAAAAATGAAATTTGAAAGTATTGAAAAAGAAAATTTCGATTTGAAAGTTAAGCTTGAATGTTTAACAAAAGAAAAAGAGGAGCATACTTGTCATTTAAAGAAAGGAAAACAATTTAAAATTAGACAAGTATGAGTTCTAAAAGGAACAAGAGGCATTGAAACTAATATTCAAGGATCCAAAGCAATTTGGATACCAAAATCTACTTAAATGTCTCTTGTAGGTGTGTGGGAGCAATGGTGATGAAGATGCTGATATTCAAGATGCTCTAGCCACACATGAAAAAGGAATGGGTAACCTCTAAACTTAATGTTTTAATTTTATTTGGTTGCTCATTTAGTTTATGCATGCATGAGGTTTTAAATGTTGAATAATTCTAAATTATTATGTTTTATCTCATGTATGTTGAAAAATATTATATGATGAACATAGTAATTTTTGGTAATGTTTTATAAACTCTAGTTTATCATATTAATTTTTGGTCAAAATTGTTTTTAAAATATAATTGATATCTCTTTAACAATTGATATCGATTTTTCAAGAACTTTGGTTTTGCAAAATTTTGACCTTAAAATTTTCTTAATGTTTATGCATAGATTTTTTAAAATATTATAAAGTTTTAATGTATAACATTTTCAAAAACTTTATGCATGTGCTCTTAATCTTGATAATCAACATTGCATAATGTTTTTTTGTATGTGAATGGATTAAAGCATAATCCGAATAGATGAATTTGACAAAAGATACAATCTCTTATTTTTAAATTAAGTGTTTGCAAAATTGATTGACATTGCATCTACTTTGATTATGCTTGTTGGTCATAGAATAGGAAACATATACATGATTCATTTAGATTCTATCAATATGACTAATTTATGCCTAGTTTCTAAGGATGAGCATGATAGTTGGTTATGGCATAGGAGACTAGGACATGCTAGTATGAGTGTTTTACAACGATTGATTCAAGGAGATTTAGTTAGAGGGTTGCCAAAGCTAAAATTTGATAATGATAAAATCTGTGATGTTTGTGCTAAAGGAAAACAAAAGCGAGTTTCTTTTAAGTCCATTAATGATGTATCAACTAATAGAGTATTACAATTTATCTATATAGATCTTTTTGGGCCACCTACGACTACTAGCTTGGGTGGAAAACAATATGCATTTTTATTGATAGATGACTATTCTAGATATACTTAGGTTTTATTCTTAAGTACTAAAGATGAAGCATTAGAAAAATTCATCACGTTTTCAAAAGTAATCCAAAACGAAAAAGGTTACTCTATAACTAGTGCTAGGAGTGATCATGGAACTGAGTT